GTGGGAATGTAAATTGTGCAAATATTGCAGCAACTGTTTAGCACTTTCTTTTTTTTAAAAATTTTATTTATTTATGTGTGTGTGTGTGTGTGTATGGCCAGCTCAGTCCACCAGGGGGCGGGGCTGGCTGGCATGTGGTGCTGGGGCTTGAACCGCGGTCCCTGTGCTTTGCTAAGCTTGTTGTAAGTAGGTGCTTTAGACCACTGAGCCATCTCACCAGCCCCTGTTTAGCACTTTCTTAGAAAGTTAAACATATAGCTCCTGCATGGCCCAGATGGTCTGCTTCTAGCTATTCAGCTATGGGAAATGAAAGCATGTCTATACAAATACTTGGATATGGAAATTCATAAAAGTTTTATTTGTAATAGACCAAACTGGAAACATTCCAGTATGCACTAACAGTCCAGTGTGCACTAACCAATGAATGAACAGATGTAGACATACGGTAGAATGCTACTCAGAAGTAGAGTAGGACAAATTACTGATATAGGTAACAACCTTATCAGGTATAATAATTAACACAATGTATCTGTGTCATAATGAATTTGGCCTTTGGCCTTGGTTTCTAGGTGGTAATTCCTGTAAATGCCAGGAACTTTCCAAGTTGTGCAGGTGTCTTTGGTACTCGTAGTAGGTCCCTCACGCCACATTTGAGTTTATGCCACTGAAGTGATCTGTGAAGGCCCTTGGGTGATGCATGGTGAGGGATGGGGGCTGGTCACACCAGGATGACCAGCCACATGCAGAGAATGTCAGGACTTGGAACCGGCTGCTATCAGTCTGACTTCTGGGAGAAAAGAGATTTAATGGTGAGTCACAGGCCAGCGAGTCCACGAAACATGCTTGTGTCATGACAAATGAGGCAAACCAAAGTGGCTTGGGTCTTCCTGGGTGGTGATGCTCTGTACATTGCTACACATTAGTATGCTGAGATAGCGATGTGCCCCACCTCCCCGGGGAGAATCCAGAGGAGTCCACATGCAGGACTCTCTGAGGCAGCGCTCAGCGCCGGCTCGGATTGTGTCCTTTGCTGTAACAAAACTGTAATAATAAGCATAGTGCTTTCCTGAGTTTTGGGAGTTGTTTTAATGAATTATCCACCCTGAGCAGCGACTGGGAACCCCTGAGTTTGTGGCTGCTATCTAAGGTGAGGCCAGGCTTGTGTCCCTAACCTTGTGCCTGACTCTGGGGAATTGGTGACAGAAGTCATTTAAATTGTACATAACTCTAGCTTCAAAACTCATCAAATTGGGGCCAGAGAAATAGCTCAGTAGAATAAACGCTTGCCTGGCAAGTGCAAGGGCCTGAGTTAAATCCCTGTTTCCAAAAAAAAAAAAAAACAAAAAACAAAAACAAAAACAAAAAAACTCATCAAATTGTACAATTTAAACACATGAAGCTTATCATATGTCAACTATTACTCAATAAGGCTTTTTTTTTTTTTTTTTGGCAGAAACGAGGCTTGAACTCAGGCGTTTGAGCTTGCCAGGGAAGTGCTTATTCCACTGAGCCATCTCCCTGGCCCCAATAAAGCTATTTTTTTAAGGCTCAGATTAGATATTACTTGCTATGACCCTGTCTAGAATCTTCTATGGGATCCCCTAAGTCTACAGAATCAGGGTTTTTCACCAGCCAGCTCCAGTCTCTCAAGCCTTGCCTGCCAGCTCTGTTTTACACAAATCCTTGACTCCAGCTAAACTGTATTTCTTGCTTATTGTCTTGGAATTCTTTCTTCTTTTTCCATTTCTGTGGCTATCAGAACACCCTTCCCTGGGTTACCACACTCTCCTACCTGTTCTAAGTTTACCTGTCTTGGAAGGTTTAGACTTCAGTGTAATTTTCTTTTTTTGTGGAACCAGGGATTGAACAAGCACTTATTCTACTAAGCTATCTCCCATGCCCATAATTTCCTTAAAAAAAAAAAAAAAACAAACAAAAAACAAACCAAAAAACCAAATTTTGATTTCTTTCATTAGAAATGATCTTTCCCTTTCTTAAAGTACAAGAGCGGCATTTGCATGCTGTCCTGTGCTTCTTTATGCGTCTGTGTCGGTGGAGCACCTCTTCTAGCCAGGCTACTGAGGCTGGGGCTATGCGTTTTGTTCATCCTTGAACGTCCTGTAGCAAATAACACAGTTCTTTACAAATAGACCAAATAACCAAAGCACACATTTCCTTGATCTTTGAGGTCATGGTGGCACACGTCTGTGATCCCAGCATTATAAGAAGCTGAGGCAGGAGGCTCACAGGATTGAGTCCAGCCCGGTGAACTCAGTGAGACTCTTTTGCAAATTAAAATTAAAAAGGCAGAGGGACTGGGAGTGTAGCTCAGTGTGAAGTCCCTGGGTTTAATCCTCAGTACCACACATGAGCACACAAAATATTTGGACCCTTAAATCCTGACTTCACTCAGTCTCTACCTCTTCTGCTACTGCCCTCCTCCAACCCAGCCTGATCAAAGCCGATGTGCAAATCTCCAGGCCAGAGCGCTTCCGCGTGGCAGTGTCAGTCTGACCCTATCCAAACTGTGCTGTGCGCATCTAGCAATGGCAGTGCACACTCCTCCCTTTTGGCTTCTTTGTTCGGGCCATCCCACACTTACCACCATAAAGCTTTTGCTGATTCTTGCTTGTCATCCTTTAGCTTCTGTCAAGAGGACATCTCCATGTCTGCACTTTGTGTGTTCTGGTATTATTGTATGTTTGGGTTATAATTGTAACTGGTCTACTATTCGGTAAATTCCAAGGGCCATGACCTTACTTTTCCTCCTTTATCTTCTCTCCCCCAGTTCTTGCCCAGAGACTACATATAGTAATTAGAATCTCAGGTCCTGGAGCCACCAGATCTGAATTCTGACTCTGCTACCTAGCTGTGTGGCCTCTAGCAAGTCATGTGAACCATCCGCTTGGCATCTGTAGCTTGGAGATGTTAATCAACATCTGTAAAGTGAAAATGCTAAGAATGACTATATCTTGGGATATAGTTTTGAGGACTAAATATCACTATTTTTAAGTGTTTTAAACAGTGTTTGGCCGACAGGAATTGCTCAATAGCCATCATTTTGGTGTCTTTTTTTCTTTTGCTACATCCTCAACCCTTTCTACTTATTTAATTCTCAGACAGTCTCTGTAAATTATCCAGGCTGATCTTAACCTTGTGACCCTCCTGCCTCAGCCTCCTGAGGAGCTGGGATTACAGGTGTGCACCAGTGTGCCTGACAACAACTGTTAGCCTTTTCACTGCATGTCAGAAGCATTTTCTAAAGAAGTGCTCGGACTCTTCTTGGAAAGGGAGCCGAGGGGATGAGTGCGTGGTTAATCACTTCACACTCTCTTGGAGACTTCATGAAAAATGCAAGTTTCTGTGCCCCACCTGGGGAATCCTGATGATACCAGCCATCTGTTTTTTCATAGGTGCTTCTCAGAATTGCACAGAGTTGCTTAAGAACTGCTGGTGTACAAGAAAATACCCTCATGTTTCATAAGAAGAGCAGGCTTCAGTCGTGTTTTTGCCCATTCCCCAGTGTGAGACTTTCCTCAGATTCCATTTTCTCATTTGTTAAATGCAGATAAAAATTTTGATTTATCCATAGTCATTCTAGGGGTCCAACTGCTGGTGTCATTGCTGTGGGGAAGCTGGTTGGCTGGCTGGGGAGAAAAGAACACAGGCTTTGGAAGGAGATGGATTTGCATGGGAAGTCTGCAGCCGCTGCTGCAGATGTTCCTAGGAGGTGACCCTAGATCCGGCTCTGGTTCCCAACACAAGCCTAATTTTGCTCGAGGTATCACTGCACCCAGCTGAAAATGCTCCGCTTCTCAGACTCCCTTGGGATAGGGGTGTGTGTGTGTGTGGAGGGGGGATGGGGGTGACACAGTTCACATGGAAGTCAGCTGAGGAGTTCAGGAAGACTTTTGCTCCCCTGATCCTGTTTTCCTTGTTGTCCTATTGTCTCTTCCTACCTGGGACATAGACAAGAGGTCTCGAGATGCAGCAGCCATCTTGTTACAATGAGGATAACTATGGTAGGGAGAACCTACAAGCTGAGTGATGGAACTAAGAGACGCAAGGGTTCTAGGTCCCCAGTGGTGTCACTGAGCAGTTTCACCAGCTCTGGACTGCCTATCCCTAGGCCCCTTACAGGAGACAAATGTATCTTTGTGGTTTGCTGCAGAGGTACTTTTGGGTTGGTTATCTGTATACTAAAGCTTCTTAGTGAGCACTGAAGGAGAAAGTTCTAGAAAATGTCTGACTGGGTGGACAATCGTGTGGCTCTTCCCTTTCTCCAGTTGTGAATTATTCTACTGCACAGTGAGGCCCCTTCTAAAACCAATGTCCTATTTACTTGATTATCAGGGAGAAGAACTGGACTTTAGGAACTGGCCTCTGAAATAAAGGGCCTTTCTCTGGGGGAAAAGGAGGGCCCTCCAGAAGAGGCTGGGCACAAGAACAGTACCTGTAGCTCCTACCAAGGAGACTGCCACACCCTAATCCAATCAGACAGCTAAGTCTGCATGCATAATATGGGCCTCCAAGGGGGCTGGTGGTCTAGTTCAGTGAACTAAGTGTTTGCTTAGGTAAGCGCAGGGGCCAGGGTTCGATTCCTGGCACTGCATGCTGCAACAGCCCCGCCCCTGGGCACGCTGAGCCCACAATGGAGTCCAGGTATGGTGGCGCACGCCTGTAATACCAGCACTAGGGAGTCAGGAATCAGGAGGATCACTACAAGTCTGAGCTGTGTAGTAAGACCTGGCACAAAACCAAACCAAAACAAAACTAAACAAAAAAAACTTAAAAGGGACTGGGGATAAGCTTAGTGGCATAAGTGCCTGCCTGGCAAGTACAAGGTCCTGAGTTTGATTGCCAGTACTGAAAAAAAAAAAAAAAAAAAAGCTGTAGGGCTGGCCTGACAGCTCAGTGGACTAAAGTATGTCAAAGTAGAGTGAATACAAATGTACTTTTTTTTTTTTTAAAGCAAATGCATTCTTCCTCCATTATTTTAAAATGATTTAATGACAAAATTGTCTGATTACCTTCCACTAGAAAAGTCAAAAAAAATCATGCCCTTACAATAGTAGTGCCTTCTATCCCCAAGGTCTTTGCAACCCAGGGTGGGTTTCTGTTCCCAGAAGAGTGAATTTTGTCCAACACACCAGTTCCTTCCCAGATCTGTGCACTGTGACCTGCTCTCAGCTCCTCCGGTCTGAGGGCTCCTCTTTCATGGCCTTAACCAGCCAGTCACGTTCTGACCCCGGCTCAGAGTCACTGGTGTCGCTGCTGTCCACAGCCAGCAGCTTGGAGTAGTTGATCTTCCGCTCTTGGGGCAGCCTGGGCTGGATGGAGAGGAACACAGCCAGCCAGAGCAACAGGCCCACACAGCAGGTGCGGTACAGTACCACCAGGCTGAAGCGCATTGCCAGGAAACCGCCCACAAAACTGCCCAGGCTGCAGCCGCCCCTGTGGAAGTGGCCCCGGAACATGGTACTCAGAGGCCTCTCCATGCCAGGGGTGGCCAAGTCCTCCGCAGAGGCCTCCACGGCCCACCACAAGACCCCATGGCTGATGGCACTCAGGATCTGAATAGGGAGGACCGACCACCAGCTCCAGAGGAAAGAGTAGTACAGCAGCTGCCCAGCGAGGCATCCCAAGCCCAGCCCCACTGCGCCCACCCTGGACAGTTTTCGAAGCAACATGGTCTTAAGTGGGTAGAGCAGAATCTCCCCCAGCAAACTGAGGGCCACGGAGAAGCCCATGACCAGCTCACTGCTGCCGTGATCCTCCATGTGCCAGAAGAGAAAGTTCTGCACTGTACTGGTGACAACTCCTACCAAAAGAACTGTGAGGGCCAGGAGGAAGAGGTGGGGGTCACCCCCTAGGAGAGACAGGGCTTTGATGGTTTTGTAGCCAGGCTCCTGCTGCTGGTAGGTGGGGACAGGAAAGGTAGTGCTCACCAGTAGGGCCAGGGTGCTGACCAGTGCGTAGCCATAGAAGCACACCACACCCCGAGGGCCACTTGTCATCAGGAAGCAGTCCAGTCGCCCCATGAAGGCTGCGATGCCACACACACCTGCTGCCATGCCCAGTAACCTCCAGAGCCCCAGACTTCCGTATCGGTCAGAGGCATCAACAAAATCTAGGTATTCATAAAGGCTGTCACTAGCCACCTGCTCCAGAGGGGCTGCCAGCAGTTCCCAGGACACTATGAAGCCCAAGGCGAGGAGGAAAGTCCACTGCAAGCCCTCGGAAAGCTCAAGGGACAAGGCTTCCCCCTTGGCCTCCGAGGCACTGGCTGGACGGCCCAGCACTGCCTCTTGGGGAAGGAGGAGGGCAGCTTCTGCGCCTGCCTCAGAAGCACCTTCCCAGGGATCGGCTTTCACTCCTGAAGTGAAGGGTTGGAGAGTGTGGGGTGCGGTCCTAGCTCCTTCAGGTGAGCTCACTAAGCGCAGCCCCTCCAAAGTTTCTTGTTCACTTTCTCCAGGTCCAACTGTGAAGTCTGAGGCTTCCTGACCTTTCAGCTTCCTCCCGACTGGGCGGCTGGGCAGCCCTGCGGGGTGGGTTGAGGCAGAATCTCGCGGGGAGGGGATGGTCCCAGTGAGCGTGGCACCTGGTGGCAGGACTCTGGCAGTCATGCCGCTGCTTTTATTGCAAGAGCCGTGCAGCACATCTCCGTCCAGCGGCGGGACCAGGACCATCAAGAGGCTGGCTCCCGCCGAGCCGAGCAGCGAGCCTACCAGAAATGCTCTCCTTTTCTGGCAGCTTTTGGCCAGGAAGGCACAGAAGGGACTCCAGCAGGCTGCGACCAGGAGCTTGCTTCCCATTAGGATGCCCACCCAGGGCGCGGCCAAGCCCAGCTGCCTCAGGTAGAGCGTGAGGAACGGGGTCACGCAGGCATCCCGGACCCCACATACCAGATGGAAGAGCCTGGCCACCCCCAGCGCCCGGCTGACGTCCCACTGGGGGTTGGCGCTCATGGCTGCCCCGCTCCGTCAGACTGGAGGAGGGCAGAGCTGGGCGCAGGGCGAGCGCAGCGCAGGCCGGGGAGGACGCGGCCCCATGTCCGGCGGGGCGCGCTGGACTCCGTATCCGACCTCGGGCAGAGCCACCGTCACCCGGTAAACCGCCGCCCATGTCCGGCCACTGGCCCGGAAGTGACCCCGCCCCGAGGGGGCGGTGCCGCGGAGGCGGGACCCACACACCTGCAGGCGCACCTGCCGCGTTCTGAAGCCTCGGGCTGCCCCACCTGCCTGGACATGCGCAGGTGCGCGAAGGGCTAGTCCGACGTCTGTGGAAAACTCTTGCAGCTGTGTCAGGGGATTTGCTTCCCCACTGGCTGCCCTGGGTCACCTAGAAATCTGGGCTAAATCTCTGATCTGTGAGCCTTGAACTCAGACAAGTAAAACTGTAAGGGTCAGAGTCAGGGGTGAGGGAGCGAGAATGGAATGAAAGATGTTCAGGAGGCGCCATCCCTCGTCTTCCTCAGGTGTTTACTCCAATGCCTTGATCAGGGACCCCCTCCTAGCAATCACCCCTGTCCACCCTAAGTGGAATTCCTCATCCTATCTCCAAGACATACCTTTCCCTTCTCAACTTTTTCTCCATAGTACTTGATTAGTGAATGCACTTCGGTTTGTATTCCATGCATTTACCTTGTTTGTTGTGGGTTCAACAGAGCCGCAGCTCCAGGAAGGCAGCCAGTATTTTGGTTACCAGGGCCTAGAACTGTTTCACTGCATGCGAAATTTTCAGGGAAGAGGCAGGACATTGCGTAACACAATTTTCTGCAGTTGGGACAATCTCTAACGAGGACTGACAGCTGAGGGCCCTCAGATCCTGTCCCAGGGGCATATCACAGCTTCAGGACAGCACGTTTGCACTGGGGCGTTCTGAGCTACACCTATGGGGTGGAGTTGCACCCGTGGAGGTGGTTAGCTGGAGCCCCGTATAGTGGCCTACCTGTGTAATCCTGGTACTAGGCAGGTGGACCAGGAGTTCAAGGCTAGCCTGGGCTGAATAGCAAGATCCTGTCTCAAGCAAGCAAACAAGCAAAATGTTTCAGCGGCAGCTAATGTTAGCACTTCAGTACCAGTTGCTAGCTTTGTTAACTAGTATAATAGTTTTTTCTCTGGTGAAATTACTGACATCCAAGTCACCTGTACACATTTTTTCAGAGGCATTTCCTCACATAAACAGGATATAAAGTAAAGATAATGATACACAGTATATTAACTGTTATTCCATAATTTTGTTATAAAATCTATTTATTCTTTTAAAAATTATTCATTTAGTTAGTTGGTACAGGGTGTTACTACAGCTCAGACTTGTAGGGATCCTCCTGTCTCAGCACCGGAATTGCAGGTGTGCACCACCATGCCTGGTTTCCGGCAGGCACCATGAGCCTGCTGTTCAGGGGCCAGCACAGCATGCGGTACTGGGGATTGAACTTGGGTCCTTGTGCTTGCCGGGCAGGCACTTAGACTGCTGAGGTATCTCCCCAGACCAACTATTATAAAATTTTAAAAAACATTTTTTCATAAAATAAAAAGAATTATTCCAAAAAAGAATGTAGAGAGTCCAGCACTCAAAACCTTTTGGATTTCTAGGCTTAGCTCCAGAGTGGTCCAGTGTCCAGGCACTGATTCAGGAAACTCATGCAAGGTTTGCCTAGAGTGCCTGCTTGGGGTGGGGTGAAGAGAGAAGCTTGCTAACACCCGTCTAGCTGCATGTGTATCAGAATTTGGCCTAAGACTTGTTTTCATTGTAACTGCTAGAGAGGTAGTTGTAGAGGAGCCCCAGAGCCCTTGCCTAACCTGAAAAGCTGGCAAACTCTGCAAATATTTATTTTAATACTTAATGATTATGATGGTTCAAGTTGCCATGAAGCAGTTAGTATCTCCTCAGTGCAGAAGAAATAAAAGCTAGCCATTTCCAGGTAAGTTCACAAAAGAGCACTAATTATAGAGCTTTCAAGTTGAGACACACCTCCGTCCTAAAGAGGACGCTCTCTACTTCCTCTCCTCCCAAGGCCCTGCCTACGAAAGCCTCAGGGGAGGTTATAACATCCATCCACATCTTGCTGCTAAACTTCCCTGGGTTCATCTGCACTAGGAGGCAGGTGCTTCACTGCACCGCTGTTTATCAGGTGCCCAGGTCCACATCTGGACTTCAGATGCTGTGTGTCACCCTGCTGCTCACAACTGCACCTTTATTGTCTGAGACTTGTTAGACTTACTTGCTTCTGGCAATCTTGCAAACCCTTTGCTGCCTGAATTTCTCTAGGGGTACCTCTGAATCCATGGATCCAAGGGCCCTGGGCAGTGCTTCCTATACTCTTCTGCATGGTGTTGAGGATGTAAGACTTGCCCCTCCTTCAGGGGCAATGAGGCCAAGAGTAAAGTGCCCACCTCTCTACTCTAGGGCCCCCAAATTTTAAAGGAATTCTTCTACCACCTCTGCCCCACAGCCACCATCCCAGGGCACTCTGTCCAGGTAACAGGGATAGGTCAAGTCCTAGTGCTCTGCTCCCCTGCCCTTAGTCCTTCAGCTGGACCTAAAAGTGGGCAAATACTGGGGCTGGATTATTATTTTTTTATTTTTTATTTTTTTTAAGATCTTGTATTCTTTTTTTTAAATTATTTATTTATTTTTATTTATTACATTTATTTATTGTGTGTGTGTGTGGCCAGCTCAGCCCACCAGGGGGCGGGGCTGGCTGGCATGTGGTGCTGGGGGATCGAACCGCGGTCCCTGTGCTTTGCCAAGCTTGTTTCAAGTAGGTGATTTAGACCACTGAGCCATCTCTCCAGCCCCTGGGGCTGGATTATTAATCTCTACTATTTTACACATGGATGCAAGTTCTTAAACTTAGATACTAAGAATTTTGAAGTCTTTAATGTTTGGCTCCTTGAAACTATCTTGCACCCCCAACCTATTTGCAGATGGTGCTGGTCAAGAGAACCCTTGAGTTAAGGAGAATGAAGAGAGAAGGGACCAGGGGAGACAACATAGCAGTTAATACTTGACAAAACCATCATCTGGCCCATGCAGATTCACTGGGTTATATGAAGAACTGCTACCTGCATTCCATTGAAACGTGAATATTATTCAGTATTAGACAAGAACAAAAACACATTAGTGTGTGTTTATTGACTCTGACATTCTCTTCTCCACCGGGAGACTCCCTGGCTGCAGATGGGAGGGAGCAAGTACAATGGGCTTTATCTGCTTCTGACTCCCTCAGCCACAGGGCTCAGGCTACACAGCAGCTCTGACCTTGGTTTTAAGGCTGAGTGGAGAGCCTGAGTGGGCCAATGGCAGCGGGAGAAGTGGGAGTTGAGAATAAAAATAAAAGTGGGTGGGCCAGTGAGATAGCTAAACAGACTAAGGTGCCTGCTTAGGCAAGCTTAAGCAAGTGCAGGGACTGTGGTTCGCTCCCCAGCACCACATGCTGCACCAGCCTGCCCCCAGGGCTGGCTGAGCCAGAGTCTGGTTGTAGTGGTGCATGTCTGTAATCCCAGCCTGGAGAGGCTGAAAGCAGGAGGATTACCACGAGTCCAAGCTGCGTAGTGAGATCTTATAACAACCAAATACATTAACAAAACAAAAAAAAAATAGGAGTGGGCATTCTTGGGCGGAGCAGGGCTGTGTGCCCTCAGAGAGTCACTGCTTTGCCGGACTAATCTTCTGGCTTTTATGGGGGTCCTTCTCCCTCACACACCTGCAGGGCAGGCTCCCTGGGGTCCCAGGCCCTCACTGATTCCTAGTCAAAACCAGAGCTGCCCATGGAGCAAGGCTCATTGTGGCCAGCAGTGTGAGTGCCGGGGAGTTGTGTGAGGTTAGCATTTCCCTCTTCTTAGGCCCCTCATTGGATGATGCCAGAGAATGTGTTGATGGGCATGAGAAGGGGTTTGGATGTGGACTGGGCTGGTTCCATCTCCTTCTGTCCATGTGGACTGAGCCAGGACATCTTGGACTTCTGGGTCCTGGAACATGGCTCTGGGCAGGGGCCCACTTCAAATCTGGTGGAAAGAGACAAGCTAAGAGGACTCACCTCAAAGATCAGATCTGTCCAGGACATTTGAAAGGTAGACCCATTATCAGGATGTATAGAAGAGGGCCACACAGAAAGAACAGGATGAGTCAGGAAGGGAAAAAATGCCATGAACTTGTCTATCTAGGCAAGGAGGAAGATGCCTATGTTGAGTTGGCCGTGTCTCTGTGTTTGCTTCCGTAACTAAGCATACATTCCTATGGAAACCCAAAAGGGTCATATCAGCTGTGGCACAGATGCTGCAGGGGGTATCCTGGGTGGGATGGGCCAGCGCCAGCAAAGAGGGTGGGATCAGGAGGGCTTTGGGGTGCATGTGCCTATAGGAATCTTGGGAACATTTAATGTCAGTCTTTGCCTAGTGTCAGCCATTCATTTGCTTCTTCTTCCCAAATTCAAGAGATAGGGCAGTGGCCTGAGTCCATATCCACCTGGCTGCTGGCTCTACCTCTGACAAGGTGTCCTGGGCTAGCAGGCAAAGGAGCTGGCCTTGGCTTAGGTTTGCCCATGGGGCTTGGAGCATTAGTGGTGGCAGGCTCAGCTTACCTGACCACATCCCTGAAAGTGCGCCGATGGTCTTTGTCCAGCAGTAGCATCAGCAGCCTCTGGTCTTGGCTCTGGATCTGGATGCTGGAGGTCCGAAAGGTGTTTGTCACTGTCTACAACAGAAGGGAGGAAGGAAAGGAGGGATGAAGGGAGGGAGGGAGGAAGGGAGAGAATTAATGAATATGTAAGTGTCACCTTTGTTAAGCAGATGGCTCTGCCCTCATTATCTTCTCTCTGGGGTCTGGTGTGTATCTTCCACCCAGCCCACAGGGTCCCTGGCTCTTTCACTGCAAGTGAATCTTGGCAGTGACCACACCGCATCAACAGCCTCCCACTTGTCCTGAGATTCACATTGTTTCTAGAGTGCTTTTCCCAACCTGCGGATCTCAGATTTAAACACGCTAGAATACTATGCTAGTGTGTCCTATATTTGATACTGATTTATTCAAAAAGTATTTCCTGAGCACCTCCTATATGACAGTCATATTTCTAAGTGTGGGACTTGGAAATCCTTTCAGGGTTTGTAAGTCCAGACCCCAGTTCTAAGTATTAAATTGCATATAAAACTATTTACTGGGGACATTGACAGAGGGTGTAGAAAGCAGCTGAGTACCCCTAAACCTTAGGTGAGGCCAGAGAAAAGCATCCCACAGCAATCTTTCAAGCCCCAGTCAGAAAAGGCAGCTCTGCAGAGGCCTCTCCCATGGGGCTGAGGACTGAGGGCAGCATGGGTGCCTGTGTGGTTTACAAAGGACCTTTTTGCATCTCTGACTCACTCCACACACAGGCAGCAACTTTGGCAATTCATAGCCACAGAACTCTGGAGATGCAGGAGGCCTGGGTGTCTGATTCACTCGAGTATTCTCAACCTTGGCTGCTTATAGGAATCATATATAAAACTAAATAGTCCAATTGAAGTAGCCTGGAGTGGACCACAGGCAAGTCTGAGAACCACTGAGTCAGTCCAAGGCTTCATCACAGAGGACAGCAGCCACTTCAACCTCGGTTGAGGAAGGGGTCAAGTATGTCTGGACTTTCAGCTGGACTCTTGTAGGAGTGGAGGAGGGTGGTGAGAAGCCTGTGAGCAGAGTGTGGAAGGATGTCCCAGGAGGAGGATCAAAAGCAGTCTCTAGGCTACACTGCCCAAGTTTTAATCCTAGCTCTGCCATTTATTAGCTATGTGTGTTGCAGCATATTTCTTACTTTGCGCTATCTAGAAAAAATTCATACTGATAATAATAACTACCTTATAGGACTGCTCTGCAGATGAAATGAGATAGTATATTTTAAGTGCTTGGAATAGCACCTGAGACACAGTGATAGATGTATTTGATAGGTTCTGGTCCTAGTATGAATTGCTAAAGTCATTATGGTGGCCATCTAATATGACCAATGCCCTTAAAACAAAAGTCCATCTTCCCAAGACCACCTCCCCTTTCTTCTCCAACTTAGGCCAGGACATAACTTTACTTCCACCCTTCCTGCCACCTGAGGGTAAGACCCCCAGTCAAGCTCCCTTGGGTATATCTAAACATCCCCCCCAAACTCTACCCCAGGCAAAAGGCCATAAAAGCCTCAGCCTCCCCTTGTTCCAATTGAGAAAGAGACAATTCCTCATCCTTCCCCACTTTCTCTCCTGTGTTCTCAAAGAAAATAAAGCCCCTTTCCCTTCTTCCTTCTGCCTGTTTCTCTGCTGCACCGAGAACCTATCAGTATTAATGTTGGTTATTTATTGCTATTAACTGTAATTTCCAAGAAGTAGCCAAGCATAAACAGTGGTCCCAGTTGCCAAAGAGGGAGGAGAGCCACTGTGGATTCTTCCTGTTTTTCGTTTGTCTCCTAGGCTAAGCCTCTTCATCCCCATACACATGTCAATCTAAACAGGTGGATTATGAGTAAAAGTACAAAGATGTATCAGATTCTCCAGAAGCCAAGGGGGAGCCCATGGCAGAAGGTGGCAAGGGAATGGGGGAATCCTGGCTGTGCATTTGAAGTGGTGGTCAACAGCCACGGTGCCCTGAAGCTCCTATCCGGGGGTGCATTGGGCAGAGGGCACACAGTGGAGCTCAGCGGGCACTAACTGGCCAACTAACCAGAGGGTGGTCAAGACTAGGCAATAGGAGGTAGAGCAAGGACAAGTCAACAGTGGAAAGTGATGGGGCAAAGGCTTGAGACACCAAGTAGAGTAGAGCAAGGGCAACTGTATCAGAACATCAGGAAACGAATGGATAAAGATCGTCCTGTGCATCTGTTCCTCAAGACTTTCAGGCAGAAACAAAACCGAAAGTATGGGACCCTGGCTTTGGACACCATGACACTTCCTCTGAAAACCTTGTATGATCCAAACTCCCTCTTGATGAGTGGGCTGAGGCAGGGCCCTTGTTGGGCCAGGTTTTCTATAAATCCCCAGCTACACATCCTCCCATAACCCCAGGACCTTCCCTGATCAGGGCCATGAGATCTTCTCATTGTTACTCTTGCTCTTGTTACTCACTTTGAATATGTGTCCTGCTCCATTCTTTGTGTAAGAACCTAGAAACAACTTCCTTCGAATCCTCCATCTGAAAACACTAGGGAATCATCAGTAATCTTCCAGAAATAACTAGAAAGGCTGCAAGGAATGTGGTCCTGCAGGAGCTGAGGCATGGAGGAAGCCAGGTGCTTCAGTCTGTGGCCCTAACTGGGCCTGGTGAGGGAATCAGGGTTCCTGCAGGTAAGGAGACTGAGGCCAGGAGGGATTGGACGTGACCAGCTGAAGGTTGCACAGTGGCAGGGGCGGGGCCTGGCTAGCTGACTCCCAACTCTGTGCTATTTCCCCTACCTCAGGCAGCTGCTGGCCGGGCCTGACCCTGCTCTCTAGATAATCAACCACACTCAGGGCCTCTTCCTACCTGCTTGTAGGGCAGGCAGATGTCTTTCATTTCTCCATTGTAGCCCATAGGCTTAGACACACCCTACCTCCAAGGCTTTGAACTGGCAGAAGTCTTAACTACAGTCAACAAATGCCACTGAGGAGGCCAGGGGAGAGGGCCAGCTTGGGAATTTGCAAAGGGTGTGGTTCTCCACTAGATGAGGGGCTGGGCAAATGCTACCAGTTGCCTCCTGTTCTCTCTTGGCAGCTTCCTGCCTTTCACATCCTAGAATCCCGATTCCTCTGTTCTTGCCTTATTTACCATTGCTGTTCCGTACCAAGCTTTCAGTTCACCCAGTCATATCTTTGCTGAGCCCTAAATTTGCCAGGCCAGCTACAAGCCCTAGCCACAAGCCTTACCCAACTATTCTCCAAAGTGGAAACATCCTTGTCGCAGCTCACCATGAACTTGCCTTAGCTGCACAGTGTTTATCCACTGATGCATCTGAAGAGAACATGGACATGGACCTACTAGGTTCCAAGAGGAGAGCACAGCTATTAGACCCTTACCCACCCCCCAGCAGATCAGAGCAGGGACAAAGGGAAGTCTCCAGAGCAGCAAGTCCATAAGTTCAAAAAGCTCCTGGCCAGGTTGTTTAAAGGAACTGACTTAGAAAGAGGAAACACAACACAAGGGTAAGTGGGTCCACTTTGCTGTTGAAAGCTTGAACTGCATGCTGCCTGTGGGAAGGTGGATGGAAGCCCAACCTATCTCTCAGCCAATCACAGTGCTCTTGCAGTGGGTAGGCTGCCTCAGAGAGAGAGAGAGAGGAAGGACTTGCTAAGGTCTTGCTAATGTGCCCTGCGTGCCGCTGTTGAGTTAGACCCACTGAGTGCTAGAGGAAACAGGAGGAATGAGCTCATGGCCCTGAGCTCAAGAGCTGCCTTTCCATTTAGAGAGGCAAATGCTTCCATGGATGTGTCCCTGTGATTTTAGGGGAAGCACAGAGGGGAGGCACATAGTTCACCATGGAGTGGGAGGAGGGGAGAGGTGTGCAGAGAAGGGGAAGAACATGAGAAAAGGCCTCCAGGACCAGGGCACGTGTGGTGGTGAGAGCAGAGTCTTGGTTGATTGCCTTGGGACTGCCCCAGGACTGGTGGAGTGACCTTCTAGGAGTATCTGGCTGGTCAGGGAAGTATGGCCTTGACGTCTTTGGACCCCGGCCTCTTCTCCAGCACTCCTCTCTGCTCTGCTTCCGGGCGGCATGGTCTAAGCAGATTTGCTCCACCTCACTCTTCTGCTGTGATGCCTCAGCGCTGGAGCCAGCCAACCATGGGCTGAAGCGTCTTCTTTGAGTTGTGGATGTTGGCTATTGCATCTCAGCAATGAGGAAACCAACACAACAGCCTGAGACTCTTCTTGGATTGATAGAAATTACAAAAAGGAAGGAGTAGGGGAGAGAAGGGAGAAAAATGATCTCCAAGGAAGCAAACAGCATGGGCAAAGACACAGAGGTGTAAACGCCAGAACACTTTCAAACTCAGCAGGAGAGCCTGCAGGGAGTGGCTGAAGTTGCAGAGAAGAAGAAGAGCAAAGCTATATAGCCCTGAAGTTTTTTCTGCCTTTGGAGAATGGGAGATGACAGAAAGGTTGGAAGTATGGAGTGATATGTCAGAGTTCTATTTCAGAAAGATCACTTGGACAGAGGTGTGGAAGGTGGTCTTCAGGAGTGTAAGTGTGTCAGGGAGGCCGTCTTGGATGGATGAAAGGTCTGAACCTAAGGTAGTCAGGTACTGGGAGCTGCTAACACTGAAATTGAGCCTATGTGGGAGGGCAGGATAAAGTCTCATTCAATAAAGCAGTCAAAATACCTCAGTCTTGAGAAAAACATCTTGCCTAGACATTATGGGCTATTAGTCGCTAAGCAACCTTGCGTCTTGCAGCTTTGGAAAAGTATAAATAAAGGTCCTTACTATTGTTCAGGGGGTCATCTTGCCAATGAGGCAGATGAGTCACCACCTAACCCAGCTCTTGCCTCCTTGTCTATCTTTTCCTCATTCCGGGTTGTCTTCTCAGGTACAACAGATCACACTAAAACCCCAACAGATCCCTTGTCCCTTTCCATTCTTAGCACTGAAAAATCTCACGTTTCTTCTGTCCCAGGCAAACTAGGATAGTTGGTCAACCTTGCTGGATCATGAGACGGAGGACAGTGAAGAAGGGAGAGAGTTGGGAAGCATCTGGGAGTGAAAACCAACAGG